CAAATAGAGAGAAAATGACTGAAATCATGTTTGAGACATTCAATGTTCCATCCATGTATGTCGCAAGTCAGGCTGCTCTTTCTCTTTTTGCTAATGGTCGTACAACTAGTAAGAAGCAGATTGGAATGCCTGGTTCTCTACTGTTTTAGTCAGTCACGCTGATTTCGTTTGTTGATTTTCAACAAGGTATTGTGCTTGATTCTGGCGATACTATGACCCACTCTGTCCCTATCTATGAGGGACATGTACTTCCTCATGCTGTCTCACGGTTAGCTCTCGGTGGTCGTGATCTTACATGGTATCTCATCAAGATTCTCATGGAGGGTCCTTACATACTTAACAATTGCGCAATCAATACGCCTATTCATTTGAAGGAGACGATTGCTTATGTTGCACTGGATTTTGAACAGGAGATTGACAAGGCAAAAAATTGCTCAAAATCAATTGAGAAGGGCTATGAGCTTCCTGATGGAAAAGTCATCAATATTGGTGCTGAAACGTTCCGTTGCCCAGAAGCCCTCTTCAAGCCATCATTGGTTGGAATAGAAGCGACGGGGATTCATGAAAAACCCTACCACTCAATCATGAGATGCGATGTTGATATTAGGAAAGATTTATTTGCAAACATTGTGCTTAGTGGTGGCTCAACTATGTTTCCTGGCTTTGTAGAACGTATGACCAAGGAAATCACTGCTCTTGCTCCGAGCTACACGAAGATCAAGGTGATTGCACCACCTGATAGGAAGTACAGCACCTGGATAGGAGGATCAGTTCTAGCTTCCCTCAGTACTTTCCAAAAAGTTAGTTCATTTTACTGAACGATCAATCATTCAATTAACCACATCGTCTCTCATTCAGAAATAGATAATTTGTTGTAATTGTGAATGTCTTGTTGAATAACTCTTTTATGCTAAAGGATTCAACACTAACTTCTACTTGGTCTGCAGATGCAGATGTCGAAGGCCGAGTATTTTGAATGCGGTCCTACGTTGGTTCACAGGATGTGCGTCTAAGAAGGGGCTGATAGCCTAAATACTTCCTAGTTAAATTCCAGCAAGCACTCTTATTTCAATCAGAGAGATGTCTTTTTTGAAGTAATACCCAATCTTGTATGCATTTTATATTCCGTCTATTGTGTTCAAAATATATTATTTGATTTATCTAGTGAATTTTTCCCTTATTTGGAGTTTGAGCCAAAGTTACTATGGATGAACCCATAACTTATGCACTAAATCTCCAATGTGTCTTCGATTATGTTATTTACAAGCTTAAAACAAGATGAGATGTCACATGAAAACATGGAACATGTAAGTTAAACAAGTATTGAATTTTTTTTTTTTCTTAAAGTTTATCTAGAAATCATGTGCAAACCACATGTTGCCAATAACGGTAAGTGGTTAAATATTTGAAAATTACGTAATAAAAAACTTTAAATTAGCATAATTAACTCATGATTAAAATATTTAAAAGACATATGAAAAAAATTACGATCAAATAACAACTCATTTGACTTATAAATGTCACATTAATTAGAATGAAGGAACAATATTTTTTTGTACAATAAACAATTATAAATATGATTATTGAATTAATTTACAACTAACTAAATCAGTTATAAATAATGAGTGAATAGGTCAAACACCCACCCCCGAACTATCCCCACTCCCACCCCTCAAAAATGTCTGTCATAAAAGTCATTTCGTGAGTGAGTTTTGTATCTAAACTGTTAGATTTTCTATTATCTTATTTACCCTCTTAACTAAAATAAGAGGCACGTAAAAGATGAAAAAGCTTGCACAATCAGTTCATGGAAGTTTAGGAGGATTATATGATAACCAATAGTTAAGAGATATGAATTTCACAAAATGTTAATATTTTAGGATGAGTTTTTAATTTGGTCAATTAAATTTTTTCTATGTGTACTGTTAGTTGAAATTCATTGGAGGAGCTTTTGGATTATGATGTTCTCACAGCATGTGTAATGACCCTATAGCAAAAAAATAATAATCCCATATGGATTAAATGAGGAACAAATATGAGGCTTATACCATCTTTAACTTTTCTACCTTAATAATTAGCTTTTGGGGCTCCTAAAATTGTATCAATAACACTTGACTTGAAAAGGTCTATCTACTTGTGGTAGAGTGAAAGTAGAACCGTCGAGGACGGCGAATGAGATGTGTGGTGGTTATGACACTATTGTAAAAAAAAAAAAATCAATTAAATGGGAAAATGATATGGGGCTTATATAACCTTAAGCTCTCCATCGCAATAGAATTAAGTGACTTTGCAACTCAACCTTCTAATTACTCTACTATAGTTTCAAAATATTACATATTCTAGCGACAAATTGAGTTTTATAGTATATATATATATATATATATTCAATACTCGTATGTCCTTATTTCAAGCCTAATATTAAGCATACTAGCATCCAAACCCTAACAATTTCTGAAATTTTCCCAATTAGAATTGAGAAAACGAAAAAGCTTAAAGATGAAATAGACGAAATTTGAGTGGATAATGATTTAGATTCGAATTTTGTGATTTATTTTCGTTTACAATTACCTTCTCAATACTGCTTACTGAATAGCATTGGATTCATCTTCAATTACACGTACTTTGTTTTTGTATTTTTGTTTTTGAATCCCTATATTAGAATTTTTTGAATCCCCATATTAGAATTTTTGGGCTCCGTCACCGTTTCCAAAATAAATTTTACTTGCAAAATAAATATTTGAAGTCCTTACAAGATGGATATTCTTCAAACACTGGTTTTTGACAATGGAACTCAAATGACCAAGGTTAGTTATAAATAAAGTGGTTGCAATTTCAGCTCCATACATGGTGTAAACTCTTTCCTTTGTTTCTTTAGGCTGGCTTTGCTGGGGATGATTCTCCAAGGACTGTTTTCCCAAGTTTAGTTGGTCGTCGTCATCATACTGGTGTCATGGTTGGAATGGGAAGAAGGCATCCCTATGTTGGTTATGAAGCTGAGTCGAAAAGATATATGCTTAATCTGAATCATCCCATTGAACAGGGCATAGTAAGAAACTGGGATGATATGGAGGAACTTTGGCATCACACATTTTACAATGAACTTGGTGTCCCTCCTGAGCAGCATCCCGTTCTTCTGACTGAGGCACCATTTAACACCAAGATAAACCGAGAGAGAATAACTCAAATCATGTTTGAGAAATTTAATGTTCCAACCATGTATGTCGCAACCCAGGCCGTTCTTTCTCTTTATGCTAATGGTCGTACAACTGGTAAGAAGCAGATTGGATTGATTGCCTGGTTCTCTACTGTTTTAGTCAGTCATACTGATTTCGTTTGTTGTTTTTCCAACAAGGTATTGTGCTTGATTCCGGTGATTGTGTGACCCACATTGTCCCTATCTATGAGGGACATGTACTTCCCCATGCTATCTCACGCTTAGATATTGGTGGTCGTGATCTTTCAAAGTATCTCATGAAGTTACTCGTGGAGGGGTATAATATATATTATTATGACGGTTGGGAAAGATATAAAGATATGTTTCATGATATGAAGGAGACGTTTGCTTATGTTGCACTGGATTTTGAGCAGGAGAATGAGAATGCAAAAAATTGCTCAAAATTACTTGAGAAACGCCATGAGTTTCCTAATGGAGACGTCGTCAATATTGGTGCTGAGGGATTCCGTTTACCTGAAGTCCTCTTTCAACCATCATTGGTTGGAATGGAAGCGGCAGGAATTCATGACAAAGTCTACAACTCAATCATGAGATGCGATGTTGATATTAGAAAAGATTTATTTGCAAACATTGTGCTTAGTGGTGGCTCAACTATGTTCCCTGGCATAGCAGAACGTATGAGCAAGGAAATCACTGCACTTGCTCCGAGCCATACGAAAATCAAGGTGATTGCACCACCTGAGAGGAAGTGTAGCGCCTGGATAGGAGGATCAGTTCTAGCCTCCCTCAGTACTTTCCAAAAAGTTAGTTTCGTATCCTTTTTATTTTTTATTCCATTGTCACCAATCAATCAACCAATCATCTACGCCTCAATCACAAATAATTGGTTTTCTACTGTGTATCTGCTAATTTCTACTTGCTTTACAGATGTGGATAACAAAGGGCGAGTATGATGAAATTGGTCCAGCAGTTGTCCATAGGAAGTGCTTCTGAGATTGGTTTTGAGAACTTTAATAGTCTTTAGTTAATTCCCATCAAATGAATTCTAATTGTTAGAGCTTTACGTTTTGTGTAATGTGGATATGTTCGGTAACACTTTATGTTATTGAATTTGCAAACCTAGATTCTTGTACATGCCTTCTACTGTGAATTTAACCTCAAACCAAATTGTAGTTTATAATAATTGATGAATCACAAAGTTATTCTTGGTTTCCTTTTTGACAATATAAAGTGATTGTTGATTGCGACCCCCCTCAAAAGCTACTCCTAAATATTGTACCCTTGTCTGTGTTCAAGTGACATTTCACCCCTAACCACAACATTTTTCGGGGAGAATCATCTAGCTCTGAGTTCGAGTGACATTTCACCCCTAACCACAACTCTTTCGTTGATTCTTCAACATCAGTCAGTTTGGACCTCCACTTAGTTTATGGATCCATAAGCAGTGACAATTACCGGAAGCTCATGCTTTTAAATACCAATTTTAACCTTTGTCATTTGTTGGGGCTGTTTAAATAGAATAAAATGTCAAAAAGAAGAGCAAGTTAAGATAATTTCAAACCAAACAAAAAATAATTGGTCGAAGAGGAATATTGATTTGATGTGAAGTTTCAGTTTTATTTGCATTTACAGTTATTCCCACAACATTGGGTTTGTCTCCATAAAGATCTGTTTGATTGTCAACCGCATTTGATTCGTCTCTGTTTCGCTTGTATTTATGTGCTTGTTTATTCTTTGCTAAATTTTGGGCTTTTGAGTACTTCTAGTTTTAGATTGGGTATGATGATTTCATGTGGTTTTCTTCTGATGCAAATGTTGTTGAACCATGAAAGGGGGTTCAATTCAATCTCGCCGGAAATCCCAAAAGTCGGGTATGGAGAGGGTAGAGTGTAGGCAGACATTACCCCTACCTCTGAGGGCTGTTTTCCAAAGTGTAGTTGGTCGTCCTCGTCATACTGGCATCATGGTTGGAATTGGAGGAAAAGATGCCTATATTGGTGATGATGTTCCGTCTGAAAGAGGTATTTTGTTTCTGAAATATCCCATTGAATGTGGCATAGTAAGAATGGAGAAACTCTGGCATCACAAATTTTACAATGAACTCCGTGTTGCTCCTGATGAGCATCCCATTCTTCTGTTCGACGCACCACTTAACCCCAAGATAAATACAGAGAAGAAAATGACTCAAATCATCTTTGAGACACCGAATGTTCCAGTCATGTATGTTGCAAGCCAGGCCATTCTTTCTCTTTTTGCTAATGGTCGTACAACTGGTGAGAAGCAGATTGGAATGCCTGATTCTCTAATGTTTTAGTCAGTCATACTGATTTCGTTTGTTGTTTTTCAACAAGGTATTATTCTTGATTCTGGTGATGGTATGACCCACACTATCCCAATCTATGAGGGACATGTACTTCCCCATGCTATCTCACGGATAGCTCTTGGTGGTCGTGATCTTACACATATCTCATGAAGATTCTCATGGAGGGTCCTTACATATTTAATAATTGCAGAAGTGATACGCCTCATCATATGAAGGAGACGATTGCTTAAGAAGGCAAAAAATTGCTCAAAATTAGTTGACAATGGCTATGAGCTTCCTGATGGAAAAGTCATAAATAATTTGTTGTAATTGTGAGTGTCTTGTTGAATACCTTCTACTTGTTGTGCAGATGCGGATACCGAAGGCCGAGTATGATGAATGTGGTCCTGTGTTGGTTCACAGGATGTGCATCGTGGTTTGATAAGTTAAATACTTCCTAGTTGAATTCAAGCAAATGAATGTATTTCAATTTCAGGTTTTGGTATGAAAAGGGGAAAATCTTTGTTTTTTTATTTAACTTTCATGATGTTAATCAATTTTGCAAGAGCTGATATGAAAGAATGCCATTATATATGGTTTGAAAGTAACTAATGTGCAAGCTCTTCAGATACCAGAGAGGACTCAGTTAGAGCCTGAGTGCCTGACTATGTATTTGGCGAGTGAATTTTGATGAGAGACACGTGGAAGATATGAAACTCGCAAAATGTTAATAGTTTAGGAGGGACTTTTAACTAGTCAATCAAATTATTTTCATGTGCATGGTGATTTATGCGGTTCTCCTAAAGTTGTATCAACATGTGATATTCCATTAGGGGTATTTTACTATGAGCCCATGGTAGTTCAGGATATTTGCATGAGCACCCAATAATTTAGATATGTAACTCGCAAAGCAACATATTCAGTTTTATAGCTATATACATTCAATACCAGTATCTCCTTATTTCAAGCATCTAAACCCTTTGAAAATTTCCCCAATTAAAATTGAGAAAAAAAATGAAATACAGGAACCTGACTCAAATTTATACAAATTTTACCTCTTTGAGTTAGTTAAAGCAGTAATTTTTCCATCAAGGAAAAAAACAGAAAGAAAGAATTGGTCAAAGAGCAATAATGTTAATTTTGATTTGAAAATTGAGTTTTATTTGCATTTACAATTACACTTTCTTATACTGTTTACTGAATTAATTAGCATTGGATTCATCTCCATAAAGGTACTTTGAATTTCTTATTGTTTTTGTTTGAAATTTAGGTTTGATAGATTTCATGTTCTGCGTATATAGGTAAAGTTTGTTAGATACGTGTGTGTATATATAACTTGTTGAATCTCCTTCATATAAAGAGATCTATAAGGAGAAGCGGAAAATTTGTGCAGACTGAGCTGATCTTATGAAATATATCCAATTTTATTAACTCCGTATTTGTACCAGTGATGTCTCACCTATATTCTACTTGCAAAATGAATATTTGATATCCTTACAAGATGGCTGATGGGATGGATATTCTTCAAACACTGGTTATTGACAACGGAACTCGAATGACCAAGGTTAGTTAGAAATAAAGTGGTTGCAATTTCAGCTCCATGCTTGTGTTAATTGTGTCCTTCGTTTCTTTAGGCTGGCTTTGCTGGGGATGATTCTCCGAGGGCTGTTATCAGAAGTATAGTTGGAAGTCCTCGTCATTCCAGAATGGAACTAAAGAATACCTATGTTGGTGATGAAGCTCTGGTATTAAGGGGTTTATTGGTTCTGAAATATCCCATTGCACAGCGCATTGTAAGAAACTGGGATGCTATGGAGAAGCTCTGGCATCACACATTTTACAATGAATTTGGTGTCGCTCCTGAGGAGCATCCCATTCTTCTGACTGAGGCACCATTTAACCCCAAGGCAAACCGAGAGAAAACGACTCAAATCATGTTTGAGACATTCAATGTTCCAGCTATGTATGTTGCAAGCCAGGCCGTTCTTTCTCTGTTAGCTAATGGTCGTACAACTGGTAAATAGCAGATTTTAATGCCAATATAGGCTGGTTCTCTACTCTTTTAGTCTGTCACACTAATTTCGTTTGTTGTTTTTTCAACAAGGTATTGTGCTTGATTCTGGTTATTGTGTGACACACGCTGTCCCTGTCTATGAAGGACATGTACTTCCCCATGCTATCTCACGGTTAGATCTTGGTGGTCATGATCTTAAAAATTTTCTCAATAGCTATCTCGTGTATAGTTTTAATGAAATCGTCCGTTGGGAATGTACAGAGATGTTTCATGATATGAAGGAGACGATTGCTTATGTTGCACTAGATTTTGAACAGGAGATTGACAAGGCAAAAAATTGCTCAAAATCAGTTGAGAAGGCCTATGAGCTTCCTGATGGAGAAGTCATCAATATTGGTGCAGAGAGATTCCGTTGCCCTGAAGTCCTATTTCAACCATCATTGGGTGGAATGGAAGCAACAGGAATTCATGACAAAGTCTACAACTCAATCATGAGAAGCGACGTTGATATTAGGAAAGATTTATTTGCAAACATTGTGCTTAGCGGTGGCTCAACTATGTTCCCTGGCATAGCAGAACGTATGAGCAAGGAAATCACTGCACTTGCTCCGAGCCACACGAAAATCAAGGTGATTGCACCACCTGAAAGGAAGTATAGCACCTGGATAGGAGGATCAGTTCTAGCCTCCCTCAGTACTTTCCAAAAAGTTTGTTTCTTTTGGCTTTATTTTACTCATCGATCAATAATTCAATTGACTACGCCTGTCATTTAATTGACTACATCTCTCATTCCCAACTTCTACTTGGTTTGCAGATGTGGATAGCGAATGCTGAGTATGATGAAATTGGTTCTTCAATTGTCAACAGGATGTGCTTCTAAGAGTGGTTTGACAGCTTAAAACCTTTCGAGTTAAATTCCAGGGAAATGAATGCTATTGCAGTCAGAGATATGTTTCTTTGTTTGATGTGATATTCAACATCAAGAGCAGTATGATCTTTTAGTTTTTAGCTGTTCTGTATCAACATGCTAAAGTGTCCATTTTGTTTCTGTCGATATCAGGGAGGACTCAGTTAGAGAGCGGATTCAAGATTTGAATATTAAACGCTTCAGTTCAGATTTCTACTGCAACTCATTTGGTTTATTCTAATCTGTGCTTTAAAAGGTTTATATATACCACATGATTATACAAAAAAGAGAAGGTAGGATTATGATATAGGCATAATAGATAAATGTGCCCTTAACTTGACTTTCGCTTGAATCTATGTCCTTCAACTTTGGGTGTGCATAAATAAGTATTTAAGCTAGTATAAAATTGAATAGGCCCAACCCATCGGTGGCCCCTTAAAGTTGGCACTAAGTTTCACTTAAACACCTTAACTGAGTTTTGTTCATTATAGACACCTTATGTAGAGTTCTGTTGTGTCATTTTGACACTTTTTTTAATAATCATCCAAAATACAACATGTGTGTAATACACTTGCCGATGACGTGTCAAAGTAACGAATTAAATAAAGACACATATCATATATGTAAAAATAATTCTTAAACTAATGACTTTTAAGTAAAAAGAAATTCACCACTTCTAATTTTCAAGAAACTCACCCTTGTCTTCTTCACCCAACCAACCCAGGCGTCTTCTCCACCCCACACATCCCAACCCCAACTGCTCCTTCACCCCCACTAGATCGTCCATTCTCTTTACCCCAACCTCAACCCCTTTTTCACTCTATTGTCTTTTCAAGAAACACTTTCAAAAGAATTTAATTACATTGAAAACATTAATTTATAAAAGCACATTTTTTTCTCTTCTTTACTTCTAACAAAATCAGTTATAACTAACAATGGAAGAATTATTTCTTTTGCATTTCTCGTATGTGTAGAGGATTCAAATATGTGAACAAGAAATAGAGTAATTATTTTGTGGAGCTAAAATAATTGTTGGATCTAAAGAAACAGAATGAGAAGAATATGATGGTTGTGGTGATTTTCAGATCTCAAAAATTAAAAAGTATTCGATTTTAATAAGATTAATGGCGATGATGCAACGGCAGTGGGTTGATGGTGTGTGGTGGATGGGATAATCACAAAGAAAGAGGGAAGAAGATGAACAGTGTTTTAAAAATAATTTTTTGACCTGAAAAAAGCTCTTCACGCGTTGACTTTGAGTGTATTACACTTACCATGTCATATTAGCAAAAAGTGTCAAAATGACACAACGAGATCCTACATGTAATGACCCCCTTGGTCATATCTGTGTCTTGCCTTCTGTGTGTTGTTTAGAGCGTTCCTATAGCGACCATAAGTCATTTATGACTTGTTGGGACTGACAGTTCGGTCACCTGGTTGTTCGTTTGGTTTTGGTGCGAGTTTTGTGTTTTGGAGCTTATGAACCTTGAACGATCATTTTCGATCAAAAGTTCAAGAAGATGACATCGGAACCCAATTCTGACGATTCCATCAGCTCTGGAAGGGTCATTTTAGGGTAGTAGCATGGTCGACATGACTCCCGAGGTTTTCAGTGTGAGTCGGTGCGATTAGGCGTTTTAACTTTAAGTTTAAGCCTAAGTTTGACTTTGGTCAACATTCTATGTAAACGCGCTCGGATGAGAATTTCGTCAGCGTGGTTAGCTCCAGAATGTCGAGTTTGGTCTATATTGACCCTTCTTTTGTGTCTGGAGGTTTTCGATACTTTCCGAGCCTTTTTGTGGGTTTTGATTTAAAATGACTTTTGGAAGTGGGACCCACTTTTTATCGAGATGACCTCTGATGGAAATTTTGACTGCGCCGTTGAGTCTGAAATGTCAAATTTGGTATGGTTGCATATCTCGTTTGCATGCACGGGGTTCCGAACGAGATCGGAGCACCCCATCGGAGTTTTAAGTTTTGGAAATTATTTTCTGCAATAAATGCAGAAAAACAGCAACATATTTCCAAACTTCAAACCCTCATAACTCTCTCATCTCTCAACCGATTTGGGCGATTTAAAAGGCAAAGTTGTGAGATTTTTCGAGGACAACGCGTTGGTGATCTCGGATAGTGGTTTGGAGTCACCGTTTGAGGTAATTTTTGTAAAATACCTGCTGCCACACCCTTTTTGTGAGCTTGATTTTGGGAATTTTTGAGACTTGATATTTCAGTCATTTTAGATCCGATTTTGGTGATTCTTGGGGCTATCTTGAGTGGTTTTTCAAGGAGAACGCGTTGGCATGGTTAGATTTTGTATTTAACTTTTTTTTGGAGGTAAAAAGTTGTGTTTTAGCTGCTGTCTTAGCTCATTTCGAGCTCAATTTTTGGGAAAATTTAGAAGGTGATTTCGTGGTCATTTTGGGTGCGAATCTGGTGATTCAAAATCCTAGATTGTGGGTTTTTTCGTGAGGATCATCATGGTGTGATTGGTTTCAGCATCTGGACCCTCTTTTATGATATTTTCTTGTAAATAGCTGCTGCTATTGTTGTTCCGTTTTAGTGTAATTTGGGTTTTGGTTGCATGTTGATAGTGTGTTGTTTCCGAGCCCCGAATTGTGTCCCATTTTGGGATATGAGCTGGGGGAAACTGGTTAGGACCCACTTTTGGGGTTAATTCCGGAATTTCCAGCGTGGGTCCCACGATTCCCGTTTTGACTCCAAAATTGACCCGTCTCCGTTTGTTGTGATTTTGGTGTCTAAACGACCGTATTAACGTTGTGACTATATTTTTGATAGCGGGGCAGCGTTTCGAGACCGTTCGGAAAGGGAAAGCTCTGAAGGAGTGATTTTGGAGCGCGTGTGATCGGCCTACAGGTAGGCTACGGTTTCCCTCTCTTAGATTGAGCTTGAGAGTGTGAATGCATGTTGATTAGTTGGGATTTGGTTTGGTAGTTATTGAGTCATGCATAGGTGTTTAGAAATCATATTTTCGGCGTATTTCGAGAATTACCGGGTAACTGTGAGCATGCTTTGTGTTATTAATTGACCCTATGTGAAGTGCTTGCATGCTTAATTACTATTTATTTGAAGCATGTTGGGCCTTAGTTTAGGTTTGACTAGGGCTTGCCTTAGAAATACATGATTCAGATCCGATAGGCCTTAGTTTTGCCCCGTTGTCGCTCGACCGACTTAGATCCCTGTAGACTGGTGTAGCAGACTTGAGTCTGATAGTTTGGTCTTAGTTAGGAAATACGCTTGATCTGATGATAGTTATCCTTATTTACCCGATGTTACGGCTTCACGAGTTAAATCGGCGACGCTAGTTCTGCTTCGCGATTTGAATTTGATTTTCGATTCGGTTCCAAGGACTTACATTGATTGGCTTAGTATGAACGGCGTTCCACGGACATTTATGAGCGTGGATCGATTGAGACTCTTTCAGCAGCTACATTGGCACCTTTATAGAGCATCCGGTTAGAGTTCCGGCCTCTATTGCCCAGTTACTTATATAGAGCATCCGGTTAGAGTTCTGGCCTCAGATACTTGATACTTGTGATTGGTTACTTGAGTACTTCTGGTGAGCATCCGGTTCGAGGTCCGGCCTCCGTACTGTCAGATTTTACTAATTGGGGTTGAGGTTCTGATTCGTGTTCTCCGTTCTTGGGTTCTCATATGCAATTCTCTTTAGTTATAGTTATTCTGTGTACTCGTTGGGCTTATGGGGGTCCTTTCGGGTTTTTATTTAACTTGCGCACGAGTGTACCTTCTGGGCTTATGGGGGCCCAGTTAGGTGTAGTTAGCTTATAGATTACTTTAGTTAGTTCTTTGTACACTCGTGTGCATTCCTTTGTTAGTTAGATTTTTGTTCTTGACCTCGATTTGCGTATTCCTTCTTTTCATATTGCCTTTACTTTTCAAGTTCAGTCGGTCTATGATGCCTACTGGGTACCTGTGATTTTGGTACTCATGCTACGCTCTGCATCTGTTTCGTGATGCAGGTCCGGGCACTAGTAGCTAGCGTTGATCGAGCTTGGAGCAGACTGATCCGGAGACGGGAGTGAGCACATGATGTTTTTTACCTTCCGAGACAGTCCAATCTCTGTTGTCCACTTTTGGGACTTGTACTCATTTTGTAGTAGCTCTGTACTAGTGACTTCCAGATTCTGGGAGGGATCTTTATTTGTATATATGTTTTTGGTTTGCTTCCGCCTGTTTATATTGTTATTTGCCTACTCTTGTTTAGTTTCTACCCTTAGACTCATTACTTGTTGTTCCGAGTTACGGGTTGGCTTACCTGCTGGTGGGTTATAGTAGGTGCCATCATGACTTGAGAAATCGGGTCGTGACACTACATGAGGGGTTTAAAATGAACGTCGCCCAGTTGAGGTGTCTAAGTGAAACTTCGTGCCAACTTAGGGGCCACCGTTGGGTTAGGCCAATTGAATAAGTATGCATATAAGTCCTATGTGACCAACCTACCTTCCACGTGGCATCCTAGTGTATTATGCCATGTAGGACACGTGTGTTTACTTATTCAATTTTGTACAAGACTTATAAGTGCCTATTTTGTTTACATTCAAAGTTGGAGGACACAAATGTCAGTTAAGACCAAGTTAAAAAGGCATATTTATGTCTTATACCTATGATATGGGTTCTGATTACGTAAATAACAGATCTTATTTGATCATAAATAAAAGTTATTTAAAAAGAGTAAGAACGTACGTTCTAATTGGTGAAACTAATGATTATGTTTTCGTACAAAAACTACTAGGAAAATTTTTAAATATAAAATTTAGCTTACATCGTAAAAATTTAGACCAAAACTTACCTTAGATGTAATTAATTAAGTAACGTCCAATTAAAAAATGAAATTTGTACCTATTAATTTCTTTTAAGATTGTCTATGTAACCTTCAATTGCCTTCAAAAGAGTGTGCACACTCTTTATGCCACATAAATCAACATTTATGATGTATTTATTCTATGTTAAAATTATTTAGGGGGCAGTATGACCATAGTCTGAGATTTTGAATATAGTTTGAGGGCTACTCATGCAAAATATACATGGCTGATTTTTAGCATGAAATGATCATAACTTTTTAAAGGGGAGTAAGGGTAAAAAGTAAAAACTAACCTAACAGTAACACTACTGAATTTGTTCTAAATTTAAGCATAAAAATAATTTTTCTGATTTATGATTTTTTTAAAATATAAAAAAATCAATATTATATTTTTAGCGGGTTGATCAAGTGGGCGGGTCATGAAATTATTTAAATGGATATCTTTTTATTTTTTAAAAAATTTGGTTAGAAATAAAATTTTCATGACAATAAATTTTAATTAAAAAAATCAATTAAATAAGTTGAGTGATGTTGTAAGCAAACCACCCATAATTGAGTGACTTCTGAGAAAATAGTCCATAATGACTTTTGAGTTAGCTATCAAAGTTGAGTAACTTTTTGAGAAAAAAGTCCATAATTGAATGATTATTTGAGATATTATCTCGTTAAACACCTGACCCAAAATACTATCACCATTTTGTGAGTTTCATATCTAAACTAGTGGGTGTTCCTATTAACCCAAAACTATAGCCCCCTCTAGACTAAAAGAAACCCTATTCAATATAAGACAAAATATTTGGGGTAATTTGCTGAGAGGTATGTGAGAGATGAAAAAGCTCTTGAAAATGAGTCTACTTCATGGAAGTTTAATAGTTAAAATATGAAACTCGCAAAAAATTAATAATAGTGTCGGAGGGATTTTAACTTAGTCAATCAAATTTTTTCCTCGTGTATTAGTTGAAATTTTTTGGAGGAGCTTTTGTAGTATGATGTTCTCTATGATCCTATTGCAAAATTTAGATATGTAACTCATTAGTTTTTATAGCAATATACATTCAATTCCAGTAACTCCTTATTTCAAGCCTAAAATTAAGCCCCATATTTGTTTGAAACTTAGTATGATGTTGAATCTCCGAGAAAACTTTTAGTATATCAGTTTTTTTTGAATCCCCATATTAGAATTTCTGTCTCTGTCACCGTTTCCAAGTGATTATAAAAGGAAATCAATTCATGCTTCCTTAAGTTTAGTGATTCTTACGCTGCTATTCTATATGAATGCCTGAGTATTTTTGCAGCTATTTTTCAGCATTTTTCTGTCTTTTCAATGTGCTATTTATTAGCTGGTGCCTGGTGGTGACTTCTACTGGAAATATGAAAATCTATCTCACCTTGAGCCTGAAAGGAGCTTAAAAGGAGATCCCAGAAACTTCGCACAGACTGAACTGATCTTATGAAAAAATTTCCAATTTGATTCCGTGTTTGTACCAGTGACGTCTCACCTAAATTATACTTGCAAAATTAACATTTGAAGTCCTAACAAGATGGCTGATGGGATGGATATTCGAACACTTGTTATTGGCAACGGAACTGAAATGATCAAGGTTAGTTAGTAAAGCTGCTTGCAATTTCAGCTCTATGCTTGGTGTTAACTATATAAATTGTTCCTTTGATTCTTTAGGCCGGCTTTACTGGGGATGATTCTCCAAGGGCTGTTATCAAAAGTATTGTTGGTCGTCCTTGTCATACTGGCATCACGCTTGGAATGGGACAAAGAGATGCCTATGTTGGTGATGAAGCTCTGGCTAAAAGAGGTAGTTTGGAACTGAAATAATCAAGGTTTGTTGTTTTTTCAACAAGGTGTTGTGCTTGATTCGGGTTATTGTGTGACACACGCTGTCCCTGTCTATGAAGGACATGTATTTCCCCATGCTATCTCACGGTTAGATCTTGGTGGTCTTGATCTTACATGGTATCTCGTCAAGTTTGTCACGGATGGTCTTAATGTATTTAATGGTTGGGAAAGAGATATAGATATATTTCGTGATATGAAGGAGACGATTGCTTATGTTGCACTGGATTATGAACAAGAGATTGAGAAGGCAAATTTTTTCTCAAAATCAATTGAGAAGGGCTATAAGCTTCCTGATGGAGAAGTAGTTAATATTGGTGCTGAGACATTCCGTTGCCCTGAAGTCCTCTTTCAACCATCATTGGTTGAAATGGAAGCGACAGGAATTCATGACAAAGCCTACAACTCAATCATGAGATGCGATGATGATATTAGGAAAGATTTATTTGCAAACATTGTGCTTAGTGGTGGCTCAACTATGTTCCCTGGCATAGCAGAACGTATGAGAAAGGAAATCACTGCACTTGCTCCGAGCCACACGAAAATCAAGGTGATTGCACCACCTGAGAGGAAGTATAGCACCTGGATAGGAGGATCAGTTCTAGCCTCCCTCAGTACTTTCCAAAAAGTTAGTTTCTTTTTGCTTTATTTACTAATCGATCTGTCATTTAATTAACTACTTCTCATTCCCAACTTCTACTTGGTTTGCAGATGTGTATAGTGAAGGCTGAGTATGATGAAATGGGTCCTTCAATTATCAACAGGGTGTGCTTCTAAGAGTGGTTTGATAACTTAAAACCTGTCTAGTTAAATTCCAGGAAATGAATGCTATTTCAGCAGAGATAGATTTCTTTGTTTGATGTGATATTCAATGTCGAGAACAGTATGTTATTCTAAACTTTTAGCTGCTCTGTATCAACATGCTGATTTAACTTTTCTCGGGTTTAACATATTTCAAGTGATTTGGCTAGTAAGCCATGAAAATGGTAGATCCTCTGCGACTTATATCTGTTTTGTTTCCTAATTCAGCAAAATATTGGTAGGAGGCATGATTTCTTGGCCCCTGACAGGGAACATACAATCTGATTTTTGTAACAATTAATTGTGAACAAATTGAAACATCTGCGATCCATTTCCCTTGCTTCTAACATGCTTTAAGGAAGTTTCTTAAAGGTTTACTTGTCCCAGGAAATCAACTCTAAAGCCTACAAGTCGATTTGTAAGTTGCATCATCTTCAAGTTCTCTTGATCTTCGTTTTAACAACAGTTTTGGAGGTGTAATTCTAGAGTACCTGTAGTAATGAACTTGGCAATGAAGCAATTCGAAGGAATGTTCAGGAAAGGAAATGATGTACAAGTTCTTGCGCAACTGAAGGAGGCTACAACATAGTAGACTCATTGGCAAGTTTGGAGTTACACGTTCTTGTGCTAAGATCAAATAGGCAATATAAATGTTTTTGGTAATAAACCCAATGAATGTATTTTGGTAAGAAGAACAAACTCAACTTACAGGCTCAAAACTAAAATCCGAAACAACCAAATCGATTAATGTGAAATCGAACTTAAGAAAATCGATCCAATCCGAACTTATTTGATTTGATTTGGATTTTAATTTCTTGAATCCTGAAGCCAAAAATCCAGATCAAATTTATTATATTCGATGTGGATTGCCCAAATGCCTAACCCTACGTTGCAATTACTTTTTCGAGGACCTGATTGTTAGTTTTTTTGTCATTCCCTCCGTTCACTTTTACTTGTCTTTGTTTGACTTGACACACCCATTAAGAAAATAATTAAATAATTATTGATATAGGCATTTTACCAAACTATTCATGATGTTTAGTATTAAGTCTTGGAAAATAATTTGGAGAAAGAGTATTTAATGCTGACGTTAAAACGTGAAAAAATAGAATAAAACAATATACATTGCAAATCAATGTATCAAAAACCTCCACAATCTTCATGAGTTTGAAACAAACACTACAAATATAGACTTTATGTATGTCAAATAAACAAAATATCTAAGCATTAGCTAGCTGCATATATGTACTTCCTTGCTAATACAGAGAAACAATTACAAATCATATTTTAAGATTAAATTCAACCCTACAAATTATAAATATTAATTGTTTGCACTTGTGTTAGAAAATGGAGATGACATTGTAGGCTGAAGAGGCACAATAAACAGATTGCCCAAGACACAAGAGGCGGCTTTAGCTGCGTCGTCCTTAGATGACATTTCAACAAGAGCATAACGTTTCTTCTTAGAACTCATGATTACATATTCAACCACACCAAAATTACTAAATAACTCTCTCAGTCTTTGGCAAGTATAATCTTCACCGATTTTATCCCAAGATACCTTAAGCACCTTTTCCTTGTCAACACACATGTCTGGTGACTCTTTCTTTGAAAGAAATATTTCACGAATTCTAGCAATTTCGCCTAGAAGTTTTATAGAAATTCTTTCCTCCTCTTCTAGTCGAGCCAAATTAATATCAGGTACAAAGATATGCTCTGGCATTATCTTTCTACGCTTTGAATCTTCTTGTTGTTTTCGTAATTGGATCATCTCATCAAATAACTTCCTCTTTTTCTCATCCTTAAGAATGTCGTAGGAAGCCTTAAGATTTTGAAAGTTGAAGTGAGCATTAATGGGATCATCGGATCTCTTGTCTGGATGCAATTCTAATGCTTTCTTTCGATAGGCTTTCGATATGTCGATTTCAGAAAGCTTTGCCCCTTCCTCACCGGAGGCTAAATCCAAAGCAGTATAATGATCAACTTCAATATCCATTGAATAACAGATAATTTCTAGATGTGAGAAACGTCTTTGTTTATTTTGGGGACTCATAAACAGACTTGTTCTATTTATAGGTGGTTTAATTATTTTTTCTTAATCATACAAGGACTCTGTCACACCCCGAGCCTACACCCTGGGCGGGACCGGCACTCGGAGACCATTGCTGGCCCCAAGCGAACCCTTGGCCTGGCTTTCTTAACTCAGCGGAAACCTACTCAACAGAATAACTCAATGTTATGCAGAGACATATACAACTTAAATGATACATATCTGGCCAAAAAGGCTACTCGAGTCTCAAAATAGAATACTTACATATATACATAGATAAGAGACTCAAAACTAACTGACTGACTGTCTATGAAGCCTCTAAAATACTTAGGTGGATGTTGGGACAGACCCCGCAACACCCTAATAAACAAAACTAAGAGAACAAAATAACTGAGCCCTCTGGAAGCAAGGAGGCTCACCACTGACTCTAGAGTGCCCAACTGGATCAACGGCGTGCAGAGTGTTGATCCTGGGTACCTGCGTCTGCATCATAAAACGATGCAGGCCAACTGGCATCAGTACATGGAATGTACGAGTATGCGAGTTGGACCGCTAAAAACAACTTAAGCTTGAAAAAGGGATACAAAAGAGAACTTACCTTGGCTCTGTACAACTCAAGAATAACTGAACTTAATATAAAGCAATAAGACACGAGCCATACATATAAAGCTTGTAAAAGAATGTAAACAACTTAGATCGTTAAGGATAAAATGATAACAAACTAAACTTTTCTTTTATAAACATAATACAGCTTTTGTGGGAGGTTCTTTAACCGACAACCACCACTACGAGCCTTAGTGATGATACAACGTTTTACCTCACGTTGCCAAAGGACCATCCTATACCTTGCCATCGATATAGGACCTTACTTTTGCTTAGTGGATCCACTAGCTTAATCTTACGTGATCATCTAAAAAGAATGATACGTCAAGTCCCATGTTGGCGCATGGTTCTTATGGAGAGTCGAGTTAATATGAACTCGTGTCCCCAATTCGGTGCTCAATACTACTCCCAAAAATACTTTGGCTCATGCTTTTAAAATAACTTCTTTCTTTGATTGAGACGATTACTCAAAACTTAGCCCAAAGGCTCTTTTGGAAAACATGGCTCCTTTCTTACTTAAATGTAAAAACATTTAGAACTTCTTTGGGAAGTACATAGTTCCCTAATAACTTTGGAGAAATGGACTCGACTCTTTACTCCTTACTTTACTTAAACTCTTTAATTTTGACTTGACTTGAAACTCTTAACTCAACTTGAGACTTGATACTCTTAACTTAACTTGAGACTTGATACTCTTAACTCAACTTAAGACTTGAAACGACGTTAAGACGTTCAATAACGACTCTTGAAAAGCTTTAAGGACTTGCTTTGACTTGCTTAACTTCTAAGCTTGGCTCTAACTCCACTTGACTTGATCCTAACTTTCTTGAATTGAATTATGGATTCAAGGACTTGATTTGGTACCTGGAAGGACCTCATGATGTTAAGGAATGATTTAAGAATGATTTGGGACAGCCAACCTTAAGAAAATAATTGATCATAAATTCTGAAAACAGTGGAGTCCGCGTCCTGTCCGCGACGCGGAGAAGATTTTGTTCACAGAGGGAACAAGTCCGCGACGCGGACGTGCTCCTCGCAAGCTGCCCGACTTTCTCCTTCACGTCTCCAACTCTAAATCCTCTAACCTCCAGGGTTCCAGCCCCAATCACTTAGAAGCATAATATCCCTCAACATTCAATAGAATACAACTCAAAACCCCAACCGGAAACAAGTCCCAAATCATCAAGAATCTCAACATTTCAATCAACAACAATACCAACTATAATTTCAACAACAACAACTAACAACTTTAACAACTTCAACCACAACAACTCACAACTTTAACAACAAAGCCAATCCTTTCTTAATGAATAAAAGGGGTTAGGTGTGTGGGGGAAAGGATCACCCACCACTAAAAGCTCACATACCTTGGTAGGGATCACCCCCGACGAAAATCCACGATGATCTCCTTGCTTGATCTCCTCTTCTTCTCTTCTTCTCTTCTTCTTCTCTTCTTCTTCTCTCAAAACCCTCACTCTCACTTCTTTTAAAATGGTAAAACTCATCAAAATGATCAGCCTAACACATTTATAAAACCAAAATAAAAGGCTAGGGAAAAGACCAAAATGCCCTTAATGATTCCCGGACGGATTTCCTTGTCAACTGCCCAACTTTCAAAGGTCATAAATCGCTCATACGGACTCGGAATTGAGCAAACTCGGTGGCGTTGGAAAGATCGTTCCGAGGGCTATGCAACCATAACTGGAAATACTTCTAACTCATCATGAGCTAGAAGTTACGACTGATCAAAGTTGGCCAAAAACTCACCTTTTCCATACTTAGCCAAATTTCCAAAACTTTAAAATTCTTTCCAAAAAAAGAAAAATTCCAATCCTAAGCCTCTTCAAATCTATTTCAAATTGTCGGATGTTACAATATCTCCCCCTTGGGAACATTCGTCCTCGAATGAGGTTACTTTTACAAAACTAAGGGTGTAACATCAAACTCAAACACCCAACAAGCAATCATGCAAACAACAACAACAACAACAACAACATGCCCATTATATATTAAAGAGCACTAAGAAGGAAATTAATACCTTAATCCGCATTCCCTCCGGATTCAAAAAGATGCGGATATCTCTTCTTCATGTCCTCTTCGGCTTCCCAAGTGGCTTCCTCAACAAATTGGTTCCTCCAAAGGACCTTGACTGACGCCACATCTTTCGTTCTCAACCTACGAACTTGGCGATCTAAAATCTGAACCGGCACCTCCTCATAAGATAAGTTATCCTTGATCTTAACACTTTCAGTCGGTAGGATCAATGAAGGATCACCTATGCACTTTTTCAACATAGAGATGTGAAATACCGGATGGACCGCTGCTAGCTCTTGTGGTAGCTCTAACTCGTAAGCTACACTACCGACCCTCTGGACTATGCGATAAGGTCTGATATACCGGGGACTAAGTTTCCCCTTCTTACCAAACCTCATAACCCCCTTCATGGGTGAAACCTTCAGATATACCCAATCACCTACTTCAAACTCTAATGCCCTTCTCCTAACATCAGTGTAGGATTTCTGGCGACTCTGTGCCGTTTTCAACCTCTCTTGAATCACTTTCACCTTCTCCATAGCTTGGTGAACTAAATCTGGTCCTATCAACCGTGCTTCACCAACTTCGAACCATCCAATAGGAGATCTACATCTTCTCCCATATAGAGCTTCGTATGGAGCCATCTGGATGCTAGAATGATAACTGTTGTTGTAGGCAAACTCAATGAGAGGTAGGTGATCATCCCAGTTGCCTTTGAAATCGATCACACAAGCTCTCAACATATCTTCTAAGGTCTGAATAGTGCGCTCTGCTTGCCCATCAGTCTGAGGATGAAATGCAGTACTTAAGCTCACCTTTGAACCCAAACCCTTCTGAAAGGATTTCCAGAACTGTGCAGTAAACTGCGCACCTCTATCTGAAATAATGGAGATTGGCACTCCATGAAGTCTCACTATCTCTTGAATATACAACTTGGCATAATCTTCTGCCGAATGGGTAGTCTTTACCGGTAGAAAATGGGCTGACTTTGTCATTCTGTCGACAATCACCCAAATAGAATCATGATGTCTGCGAGACCTTGGCAACCCTGTGATGAAATCCATATTGATCATCTCCCACTTCCATTCCGGAAGCTCTATATTCTGAGCCAAACCGCCGGGCCTTTGGTGTTCAACTTTCACTTGTTGGCAATTTGGACACTTAGCAACGAACTCTGCAATGCCCTTCTTCATGCCATTCCACCAATAAACTTCTCTCAAGTCACGGTACATCTTCGTGGAACCCGGATGAACGGAATATCTGGAGCTATGAGCTTCTTCCATAACCCTTTCTTGGAGTCCATCTACCATAGGTACACACAATCTACCTTGATATCTCAAAGCGCCATCTCCCCCTTGTTCAAATGCTAATACTCTTTGCCTCTGAACATTTGCCTTCAACTTAAGCAAAATGGGATCTTGATTTTGCTTCTCTTTCACTTCTGACATCAATGATGACTCGGCCTTGCTCGTCACCGCAATTCCTCCTTCTGCGGAATCTGTAAATCTGACTCCCAGACATGCCAGTCTGTGCACATCTTTTGCCAACTCTCTCCTTCCTTCTTCAATATGGGCAGTGCTACCCATAGACAACCTGCTCAAAGAATCAGCAACAACATTAGCCTTACCTGGGTGGTAAAGAATACTCAGGTCATAATCCTTGAGTAACTCTAACCACCTCCTCTGTCTGAGATTAAGCTCTTTCTGAGTAAGCACATATTGAAGGCTCTTGTGATCAGTGAATATGTCGACATGCACCCATACAAGTAGTGACGCCATAACTTCAAAGCAAATACTACAGCAGCTAGCTCTAAGTCATGGGTTGGGTAGTTCTTCTCATGAACCTTCAACTGTCTGGAGGCATAAGCGATAACTTTGCCATTCTGCATTAAGACACAACCCAAACCAACTCTAGATGCATCACAATACACCATAAAACCTTGAGTACCTTCTGGTAGCGTCAAAACTGGAGCCGTAATCAATCTCTTCTTCAATTCCTGAAAGCTTTTCTCACAAGCTTCAGACCATTGAAATTTCGCGGCCTTCTGAGTCAACTTTGTCAAAGGAGATGCAATAGACGAGAACCCCTCAACAAACCTTCTATAATAACCAGCTAAACCCAAGAAACTCCTAATTTCAGTTGGAGATGTGGGTCTAGGCCAATTCTGCACTGCCTCAATTTTCCGGTATCAACTTTAATTCCATCACCGGACACAATATGACCTAGGAACGCCACAGACTTAAGCCAAAACTCACACTTAGAGAACTTGGCATACAACTCCTTGTCTTTCAAAGTCTGAAGAACTATTCTAAGATGGTTAGCATGATCTTC